TCAGGCCACCCTCAACCCCGAGAACACTGTGTTCGACGTCAAGCGTCTCATCGGCCGCAAGTTCGCCGACGAGGAGGTGCAGGCCGACGCCAAGCTTCTGCCGTACAAGGTCATCAACAGGAACGGTGTGCCCTACATCGGGGTTGAGTTCAAGCGCGAGGCCATGGAATTCGCGCCGGAGGAGCTGTCGGCCATGGTCCTGGGCAAGATGAAGGAGATCGCCGAGGCGTACCTGGGCCAGCCGGTCAAGAACGCGGTCATCACGGTACCGGCGTACTTCAGAGACGCGCAGCGCCGGGCCACCAGGGACGCCGGGGCCATCGCCGGCCTGAACGTGGTGCGCGTCGTCAACGAGCCCACCGCCGCGGCCATCGCCTATGGGCTCAATGAGGTGACGGGTGAGAAGACGGTTCTCGTCTACGATCTGGGCGGCGGCACGTTCGACGTCTCACTCCTCGAGGTACTCTACCCCCCCCCAAGAAGATGTGTTTACACATCTAATTGTAAACACACATTTTAAAGATGAAAAAACTAACCTAGCACTTGATTGGTGGTCAGATCGATGATGGTGTGTTCGAAGTGGTTGCGACGAGCGGTGACACGCACCTCGGCGGAGAGGACTTCGACCAGCGCGTGATGCAGTTCATGCTCCAGCAGTTCAGGAAGAAGACCGGGCTGGACGCCAGCGGCGACAAGCGCGCCGTCCAGAAGTTGCGGCGGGAGGCCGAGAGCGCCAAGCGATCGCTCTCCTCGCTCAAGGAGACCGTGATCGAGATCGAGAACTTCTTCGAGGGCCAGGACCTCAGGGAGAGGCTCACCCGCGCCAAGTTCGAGGACCTCAACTTGGACCTCTTCAAGAAGACGCTCAAGCCCGTTCACGACGTGATGCAGCAGTCCGGCCTCAAGAAGACCGACATCGACGAGATCCTGCTCGTGGCGGTTCGACCCGCATCCCCAAGGTGCAGGAGCTCATCAAGAACTTCTTCGACGGCAAGGAGCCCAACCGCGGCATCAACCCAGACGAAGCTGTGGCCTACGGAGCCGCGGTCCAGGCCGCCGCCATGACGGCGCAGACCAGCAACGACGACGACGACGACTACCAACAGCTCAAGGGCTTCGTGACCATCACCTCCACGCCGCTCACGCTGGGCATCGAGACCGTCGGGGGCGTGATGACCAGCGTCATCGAGAGGAACACCCTCATCCCGACCAAGAAGACCCAGACCTTCACCACCTACCAGGACCAGCAGGAGGCCGTCACCATCCAGGTCTACGAGGGCGAGCGCGCCATGACCAAGGACAACAACCTGCTGGGTCGGTTCGACCTCCAGGGCATCCCACCCGAGCCCCGCGGCGTGCCGCAGATCGAGGTCACCTTCGACGTCGACGTCAACGGCATCCTCCACGTCACCGCCGAGGAAAAGGCCGGCGGCTCGCGCAAGTCGATCACCATCACATCGGACTCGGGCCGCCTGAGCCAAGCGGAGATTGATCGCATGGTGGAAGAGGCGCGCCAACGCGAAGACGATGACCGGCTCGTTCGTGACCGAGTCCAAGCCCGGAACGGACTCGAGAGCTACATCTACCAGGTTCGCAACTTCGTGCAGAGAGAGGAGACAACGGCAGCGCTCGAGGCCCAGGACAGGCAGGAGCTTGAGGAGGTGATCAGGGACTCGCTCGAGTGGCTGGACGACCACCCGGAAGCCGACAGGGGCGACTACGAGGAGAAGAGGCAGGAGGTCGAGCAGGTTCTAGGTCCTATTCTGGCCCGAGTGCACAACGCCAATGGCAACAGGGCTGACACAGACTACGTGGCCGACGAGCTGTGAACAAGTGTTTGCCGGCACTGTGGTGGTGAAGGTGGAGTTTATGCAAAAGCACAACAAAAGAACGAACGCATGGATTAAAAGAACGACGGAGCTAGACGAAGAGAGAAGACGAAGGGCTGGCCTCGAGGTCGGGTCTAATCTCTTATGCGCAGGTGATGTTGGACAGCTGGGCCGACGGTACCGCCTGCGAAGGGGACGAAGTCTGCACCACTATTCCGGCGCCCTGGCTGGCGCCCACCTGGAGAGGGCCGTAGTTGAATGCCACGTTGAAGACGTTGCTGTTGCCCTGTCTGTTGAGCTCCCACGACTGGCTGATGCTCGAACCGGCCACCGGCAGGCCGAAGGTGATCACACCGCCGTTGACCGGTCGCTCGCCGTTGTTGGTGATGAGAATGTCAAAGATCTGGAAGAACTGGTTGGGTCCTGAGCTCCAGTTGCCACCGGCCGCGGCCGACCTGGGCACGATGCTGGCGACCACAGCGCTGCACCCAGTGCCCGGCGGCACCGACGGCCTCGGGGTCGACACGATCGGATCACAGCTAACCGACACCAGAGTGGTCACCGGAGCCACCTGAGGCCCGGCCGAGATCGGCGAGCGGACGACAAAACCGGAGTTGAGCGTGGAGCCCACTTCGATGTTGCCTCCCGGGTTGACCACGTTCCAGAGGTTCGAGGTGGAGCTCTGCCGCTGGAGGTTCCAGAACTGGGTGATCATTTGGTCCTGGCTCGAGGCCAGGTTGATGCTGACGACGGCCGCGGTGACGGGGCGAGAACCCTCGTTGACGATGGGGAGGTCGTAGATCTGGAACCGGAAGTCGCCCTCGGTCCACGAGCCTCCAGGGCGAGTGAGCTGCGGCACGGACAGTTGGCAGGTCTGAGCGGCTGCAAGGCAGAAGAGAGCCGCGAAGCACGCCAAGAGGGTAGGTAGTTGACGCATCATGGTGCTGGAGATGAATGTAGCAAGTCGTGTAGGAGCTGAGGTGATTGTTGCTTGTTGGTGAAGAAAGAAAGGACAGGTTATTTATACTAATGCCAGGAAGTAAACACCCCCAGGCGTTCCTTTGAACGATACCAAAAGCACGCCCATTGCCATGTTGTTGATGAAGGCTATGGAGTGGATGTCAATCACTCCTAACATAGTATGCCATCGCTGTAAATTGCTGCATGGCGCACTAATGTAGCTAAGGCATCTGCCGTGAGACCAGCAATGGGCTCAGGCACAGGACACAGGCAAAACATGCGCCTTGTCTCAGGTTGACAGACAGACCATATTGAGTACCGCCAGCACCTTGTGCCCCCAGCGCAATCCGGCTGGTTGGTTTGAGCCCAGGGCTTTGGGTTCGAGCCCAGCCCCTCACACGAAAACGAAAATGAAAAAAGATAAAATAAAAAGCGAAAGGCACCAACTTCTTTTCAAGGAACGTCGTCTCTGGCGCAAACACACACAAGGCAACATGTCCGATTCGGATGATGATGAAGATTTTCGTCCAGGCACGTCTCTTTTAAACACGCGTGTGCAAAGCCTTTGATTGACTGCGGTTTTGTTCAATCTTCAAATCCACTTACATCAATTGTGTTCATTGCGCTGCAGAAGAGGAAGAAGAGAACGAGGATGGGCGTGCAAACAAAATCGATGCAGATGAGGCAGAACGGCAACGGAAAGCGGAGGAGGAGGAGCGAAAGACAGCAGAGGAGGAGCGACAAAAGAAGGTCAGCGATCTGTGGGCGCGGATGAAGAGTAAGCGAGCTGCAACCACTGCATCTCCTTCTGCCCCCACTCCCTCCACCAGTCAAGTCCTTGCCACTTCTTCTTTGCCAGGTGCGTTGGATCCTTCTCTTGTTCCAACATTGCTGCTCTAATCTTCGCGCCATCTGCACCCGCAGTTGCAGCTCTCGCAAGCGCCACAGCGCCACCAGATCTTCCAACACAGATTGAAACGTCAAATGGCGACACAGCGCCCAAGAGGAAACGGTGCGTGCATGCCTCGACTCTTTCATGTGTGCCTCTGAGCTGCGAAGCTGCTGTGCCTGACCGACCACGTACGAATCCATTAGGGAGGAAGAAGCAACACCACCACGACCAGCCACCATCGGCAGCACATCAGTGCCAGCCGCGGCCGCTGTTGCAACCGTGGCCGCTGCTGCGGCTGACGTCAGCCCGACGGCCGTCGCCTCACCCTCACCACTCAAGCGGTACTTGTCTTCGGGCGATGCAGCAGGAAAGATTGGCGCCAAAATGATCGGGTGGGACTGAAGCGCTCACTTCGTCTTGTTGTTGGTTGATTTGCGGCGCAGGCCACGCACGGGGCTGGGCTCGCTGGTGGCGACACTGACCGGGAAGGGCAAGAAGGCCTCGGTGTTGGACAAGTCCAAGGAGGACTGGGACAAGTTCAAGGAGACCGACGGCAAGGAGTTCGTGCATGACATGGAGCAGGCCAAGAAGGACGGGTGCGCCTTTCTCGAGGCCTGTCTCTCTTGTCTCATCGTGGTCAGGTCACCAACACTCCTTTCCTTCATCCCGTCAGGTATCTGGGTAGAGTGGAGTTCCTGGCGCGGGCCGACGTGAAGCAGTTCGAGAGGGAGCGCGACCTCCGAGCCAAGCGAAGGAATCCCCTGCTCAAGCGAACCGACGAGTGAGCGCAAACGCAACAAAGACACAACCAACCAAAACCAAACATTTAAATAAATGTAGGCCAATGGGCAGCACATCAGTGTGCGGAATGTGTGGCAGCCGTCTACGGTTGGGGCACGGTCGAGGAGTTTTGGCTGACGTTCTTCTTCTTCGAGCAAGGTGCCTCTCCTCTCCACACTCGTTGCGGTGTGCAATAACAACGAAGTACATGTATGCACTGATATCTTATATAAAAGATCGAAAGCGAGAGCACAACTGATTGATCTTTCTTTTTCAACAGTTATCCACGACTATCGCCAGCGGCTGACGTGTGTTGCGGACTCTGCTTTAGGTTTGTTGGTGGGAGACGGCGGGCAGACACGAACGGACAAGACGAGAAGAGACGTTAACGAGGGAAAGAGATTGGATTACTTTAAATTCTTTTAATTCATCTGAGAGCTTGGAAGGACCTTCACCTCGCACACCCCGCCTCTCGACATGCTGCGGCACCCTCTTCATCAGCCACCACCACTTGGGCAACTGCAGCAGCCTCCACCACCATCAACGCATCAGCCCCGAAGGAAGAGGCGACGCGCATGTGTGGCCTGCAAGGCGGCCCACGCGGCCTGCGATCGAGGCATGCCCTGCAATCGATGCGCCAATTTGGGCAAGGCCGCCGAGTGTAGAGAGTCCGTGCCGCTCTCCACCCTCAACTCTTCCGCCTCCTCTTCCCCTTCCACCCAAGCCTCTTCTTCCTCTACGTCATCTTCATCTTCCTCTACTTCGTCATCTTCTTCATCTCCCTCCTCCTCCTCTTCTGCCTACCAACCCCTGCACAAGCGACAGAAGGTCGCGCCCGCCTTCATCTCGCCTGCACCCGGGCCTGGAGGCACTCCTGCGCCCTTCCTTCTCGCCAGCCACGCCCCTCTCGCCGCCGCCGCCGCCGCCGCCGTCAACAGCAACGGCGTACCCTTCGTCCCCGCCGCCCACCGTACCCCCGCCCCTCCCTATTTATATTTCTTATTCATGTTTGTTTTTTTATTTGAAACCTATTTATCCATATAAATGCTAATAAATACCAAGTAATTGATCATTTAATGATAATCAGCTCCTGCTGACGCGAAAGCCTTCGTGTCGTGTCGTGTGTGCAGTGGCCGGCTTTCCGCCTGGCGCGTTCTTGCGACCGCTGCCGCTGGCTTCGTTCTTCGCAGCTTCGCCCGGGGGAGGAGCGCTGCCGGCGCCGCCGACTCCGGGCCAGGCGGCCGCAGCGGCGTGGATGGCCGCCGAGGACCGGCAGAGCGGGCGGGAGAAGGAGAAGCAGGAAACGCAGGAGATGGAGCGCGAGCGCGAGCGTGCGCAGAGGGCGCAGCAGCGGGAGAAGGAGCAGCGGGAGCGCGACACAGAGCAGAAGGAGCATCGGCTGTTGGAGAAGCAGCTCGAGCGCGAACGACATATGAACGAGCTGGTGGTGAACCTCCTCAACGAAATCAAACTCCTCAAGACAACCACGCGACAGCTGCGAGGCGAATCAGGTGTGTATTGCGTGCCGTGTCGGCGGTGGTGCGTGTGCGATCGCAAGTTCGCGAGTTCTTAACGGCGTGTGTGCTGAGTGCAGAGCACCTGCGGAAGCAGATCGCCTCGCTGCAGGTGGAGCGAAAGAATTCGCCGCCCAGCGAGCAGATGGAGCCCTCCTTCGATCGCCCGCTTCTCATCTCCTCCAATTCCGCCGCCAGCTGGATCCCCTACTCCAATCCCTCCCAGCCACACACCATGCCTCCAGGTCAGTCCCGTGCGCCATTGCGTGTGCGCGTGTGCGTGTGCGTGTGCGTGTGCGTTTTTATAAAAGCTGACACCAAGTGCTTGGGTGCAGTAATCAGCAGCGTCTTTCCGCCCATGTCGGAAGCCAACATCGCCTTCGTGGTGGATGACGACAACAAACCCTTCTGTCTCATCAAGCGACAGCCGCTGGCGGACGATCGGGTGGCGATCATACATTCGATGAATGCTGCCTGGACCAAAGTGCTCCTGTACACCTCGGTACTCGCACCACCGCACACGTACACGCACCACCTCGAGACCCTGGAGCTGACTGTGTGTGTCGTGTCTGCCACCCCACGTCCCAACGCAGGAGGAACTCACGGGGCAGAGCATAAGAAAGGTGGTCGAGGACGCCAGCCTGCGCGAGTCCCGAAACCGCATCAACTCCTTCCACGCCCAGCAGGTCCGTCCAACGCCTCCGCTTGCCCCTGCCCCCCCCTCGCTCCCCCAACAGACTTGCCCCTCACACAAGGTGAACTGGTGAATGCTGTACGTGCAGGCGTCTGCGGTCAGCAAGGGGCGCAGCTGCTCTCCATGCCTCCACCTCCAGCCTCGCTTCATCCGAAAAGACGGTAGACCCCCTCCCCCCCGCGTGTCGTGCTGTGCCGTGTGAGTCGTGAGTCGTGTGCGATGGCGCGTTCTCACATTGCGGTGACGGCGCGCAAAGGCACGACGTTCGATGCGTTGGTGCGACAGCAGTTTTTCTATGACGCGGTCACCCGAGAGCCGCTTTGGTCGCTCCTGTGCATCGACGGCGTTCGCGACTCGGAGAGAGAGCAGCACCAAAAGTTCTCGCCGTGCTCGTCGCCCGATCCGCTCATGCAACGCGGCAGCCCGCAGGCGCGGCCCGCCGGCCCGTATCCCCACAAACCCAGCCCGCCCTCATCGGTCTCGAACGGATTCGGCCGAGCCGGCAGCAGTCGAGGCAGCGCCGACAATGACGACCGAGACGAAGAAGCAGCGAAAGACAACACCGCCCGCTCGTCTTCGTCATCGTCGCCATCGCCATCGTCGACGACGACAGGTGGAGGCGACGCGGCGGAGCGACACATGTACAGCAGAGATAGAGCGGAGCCGGACAGCCAGCAGGGCGGCGACGCCGACTGGATGACCGCGACACGAATGCGAGCCGACGACGCACAACGTAGAGGAGGCGGTGGTGGTGGAGGAGGTGGTCAGCACGTCATCACGAACCAGGCGAGCGACAAAGGCAACAGCGACGGCGACGGCCGGATGATGGGGTGGGGCAGCAGCATGATCACGGACCCGCGACAGGGAGAAGGCCGGGAGGCTGGTGGAACGAGTCAGTCACAGCAGCAGCAGCAGCAGCAGCAGCAGCGACGAGTCCCGCCACCGCTCTCCCCGGCCACGCTCGATCTGCTCAACTCGCTCAACAACATCCAGTCGTGGCCCTGACACTTCTCCGCTGCGGGCTTGTGCATACAACGTACATATAAGTGTTTCTTTGCTCCTTGGTAGCCTTTATTGAATGCGCTCTGTTACCTGGAAGCGTAGCATAGCAACTACCATTTACTGGTGGCTCAGGCCGGCGGCCTTCTCCCTGTCGAGGATCTCCTGGCCCAGCTTGAGGGCGGCGTTGGCGTCGGCGGGCCGCTCGATCTGGCGGCGGATCCAGAAGAGGTCGTTGTTGGGGTTGTTCCCGCGGGCCTTCTCGTCCTCCATGTGCTTCTCGTCGCCCTTGCTGAAGTACTCGCCCTTGGCCTGCCACTCCACCTGCGACACGTCGCTGCCCTTCACGTTCAGCCCGCTCTTGCCCACTAATGGCGGACCACATCGCAAGACTGGTCAGTTGTCACATCTTGCTACATGGAGCTTCATGTAGAAGAAGATGTTGATGGTGATGAAGGACGTGAAGGGGTACTCACCTCTGGTACGCTCGAGCTCGGAGAGGTCGCCTTCCTCAGCCTTGCGGCGCTCATCAAGGAGAGCCTCTCGGGTGAGCTGCGCGGTCTCTGTACCAGGCACCTTCTGGGCCGCCTCCTCCCAAGACTTTTCGTGCTTCTGGTGCGGCGGCCGCCCAGCCGTGTCGCTCTGCTTCGCCAGGCTCATCTCGTTGGTCTTCTCTTTCTTGTTCTGAGTTTGAGTTGTGCACACAAGGAGCCATGATTTGAATTGGGGGGGGGTCCATCAAGAGGCGCTGGTGGTGAATTGGGCGACGGTCGGTGGGAAGGTCGACCAAAGAGGGACCCACTTGGGACCTGCTGGCGCCCAGCCACGGTGCAAGTCCAGCAGGAAAGGCAGTCGAAAACTGCCACCCCATCAACTTCAATAAAGTTTACAGCCAATAGCAAAGGGCTCCTGATGCAGGCTATGTCCTGTTCATTGTGGAGAGGGTAAGGGTGAGGGATCGCAACTTATAAAATGCTATATATATCAAGCGTGTTTCAACGCCACTTCCCAGATTTTCCTTAACATTTGGTCAGCTTTACAATGTCAGTGTTTTTTTGGTCATCTCAAGGATGGGGTGGACAGGCAGGGGGTATGTGGTGGTGGTACTTATATTGCTGGCGGCGCTTGATTCAATGTCCCAAGGCTCTGTAGCCTCAGAACTTGATATTATTGATGGCCGGGTGGTGGCTGGTTTCATCAGCCCATATCGCCCCCTCCACCACCACGCAGGCCCTCAGCTACGCCAACACCATCCACCCCAACGGATCGTGGAGCCACATTGACTACCGCAGGGGCTGTGGGGTCAAGCGCGCCCTCTGGCCTGCTACAGAGCACCTCGATCGGGTGCTGGTCATGACCAAGGCCTGGGCCGCACCAGAATCGACCGCGCATCTCGACCCTGTGCTGCTGGCCAAGATCGTCATGGGGCTGGACTGGTGGCTCGTGCGTGACTACTCGGACGAGGGCTGCACCGACACCAACGACCCGTCTGATTGCTGTGGAATGACAGGAATGTGGCACCCCAACTGGTGGTGGAACATGGTGGGCGTGCCTCTGCGGATCGGCCCCACCTGCCTTCTCCTGCGCTCGGCCCGGCCCTCCGTACTCACCCCCACCCGCCGGGCCGGGTGCTCGGCCATCCTTCGCCGATCCGATTGGCGCGGCGCCACCGGGGCCAACACCCTGTGGCTGGCCCAGGGCGCGGTGTGGGACAGCCTTCTGCGCAACGACCAGACCAAGGTGGCTGCGGCCTACGGGGCCAGCGAGCGTGAGGCCCGCTACTCGCCCGGGTCAGAGGACGGCATCAAGCGCGACGGCAGCTTCCTCCAGCACTCAGGTGTGCTCTACACCGGCGGCTATGGGTATGTCCCAGATTGTTGCTATGCAACATACCAGTTGTTGCTGCTGACCATTTTAATGCTATTATCGCAACCAATCGCAAGCTCGGCCTTTGCGAGCGTGTACGTGGCCTTGTTCTCGGCTGCGGCGGGGACTTCGTTCGCACCGAGCGCTGTGGGGCAGGAGGTGTTCTCTAAACTGGTGCTCGACGGCCTGCGCTGGGCGGTGGTCCACTCGCCCCAGCGCCAAGTCAGCTTCTTCGATCCGTCGGTGACCGGCCGCGGCATCGCTCGCCGGTCGTCGGGAGCAGGGCTGGGCCTCGACTTCACCGCTCTGGCCAACCTCACCGTGGGCTGGGCTCGGCAGGCCGAGTTCGCCGACTTTGCGCGAATGTTCGAGTCGCGCGAGGGCTCAGGGCTCACCGGCAACCGCATCTACCCTGCGGCGGACTACATGGTGCATCGCCGCGCCGACTACGTGGTCAGCATCAAGGCCTTCTCAGAGCGCGTGGCCACCTCTGAGTGCATCAACGCCGAGAATCGGCGCGGGCTACACCTGAGCGACGGAGCCATGTTCGTGCATCGGTCGGGCAAAGAGTACTGTGGTGGCCCAGATCAAGCCGAAGACGCAGCTGTGTTTCCGCTGTGGGACTGGCACCACGTTCCTGGGACCACGGTCGACTGGGGCGTCGATCGGCTCGAGTGCTCCCAGGTGTACAGCAAGGGCCTGACCGGCTTCGTAGGCGGAGCGTCGGATGGAACCTACGGCGCCTTCGCCATGCGGTTCGTGTCGGCCTTCACGACCAACCTCTCGCTGAAGAAAGCCTGGTTCATGTTCGACGACGAGATCGTTGTGCTGGTGGCGGACATCACTTCGGCCGACCCCCGTGCCCCAGTGCACTCGGTACTGGACTCCAAGGTGTTGCATGGCAACGTCTACACCAGCGTCTTAGGCAACCAGGCGCCGCTGGACATTGGTGTGCAATCAACCACGTGGCCCTGGTGGTTGCATCACGACGGCGTTGGCTACGTGTTTCCCGGCAACGTGAACACCCTCGAGAGCGTGGCCCTGCACCTGGATCTGACCAAGCCGCGCACGGGCAACTGGTCCGCCATCGGCTCCGACGCCGGTACCTCGACCCTGCCCACCTTCACCGCCTGGCTCACGCACCAGCAGCCCCCCGTGGCCGGGGACTCGCTGGCCTATGTCCTGGTGCCATCGGTCTCGCTCGACGCGTTCGACCCGCGGCGAACCCTCGAGGCCGGGGAGGTAGTGTCCAATTCTGCTACTAGCCTGGTGGTCGTGCACCGCGGCCTGGGCCTGGCTGGAGTGGTGCTGTGGGCCGCCCGGCACAGGGTGAGGTTCGCTCTCGAAGCGGCCGAGTGGGAGCTGCAGGCGGACCACCCGTGCGTGCTGTTAGCACGCGAGGCCCAGGGCGGTAACGAGCTCCAGCTCACAGTGGCGGAGCCCACGCAACGATTGACCAGGGTCGCGCTCAGAGTGACCCGCCGGCGGTCTCGCAGCGGTCGCGAGGCACCAGAAACAACGTCAGCCATCTTGGCCATCTACTTTAATGCTCGCGATGGGAGCTCGCAGAGCGCCACCTGGCGCGACGATCTTCCGTACGTGGCCATATCGCATGGCACGACGCACCAAGGCCTCGTCACCATCTTCATTCGCACATATTGGTCGCTGTTTGAACCAAGCAAGCCATGAATCAAAAGAGAATACAAAAAAACAACCAACATTGTTTAATTGATCACCTTCAACAGGGAGGGTGAGGCCCGCCCGGGGGGAAGTCGCCCGACGACTTCATCCACTCGATGAGACCCTTGAGCCTGGACCTGGGCGGCAGCTTCCTCGCGGCAGGTTCGCCCTCGCCCTGCGCAGTCACCACCTGGTCACCGGCTGTCGGTCCGGCACCAGCACCGCTAATGCTGCCCACCCTGCGGCGCTTGGGCGGAGAGCTGCAGCCGGCCATCGACCCGGCTTCGGGCTGGTCCTGGACCCTTACGCCCTTTGTGGCGCTGGGCGTGGCTACGGCCCGAGTAGAAGCTTCTTCCTCTTCTTCTTCCTCTTCTCCAACTGGGTGCACGACACGCGCTGATCTGCGGTTGGCGGTGGTCCTCTTCCCGGATGAGGCCGGTGTGGGCTTGGCCCTGGTTGGTTGCCAGTCGGCGTCGTCGTCTTCACCGTCATCGCGGTCCTGGTCGTGGGCCTCATCTGGCTGGTAGTCGTCGCCGCCGCCGCCTTCATCCTCCGACGCGGAGTAGATGGAGAGCTCGTGGAGCGGCGGAAACTGGGGCGACGACTCCACCCCTCCTGAAACTGGGGCGACGACTCCGGCGCCGGGGCTCCTCAGCATCGGAGACGAAGAAGGCGAACGGGAAGCGCTGGCCACAGCGAGCAGCGGCATCGGGTCGTAGGTGTGGGGCATGACCAGGGCACCAGCGCCGTCTGCTCCGCCTTGGGCCTTCTCGAGGTCAGTTCCGGCACCGGCCATGCCCCCGCCCTGCATGGTGACGCGGTTCTTCTCGGCCAGCAAGTACCACCACCACTTGTTCCTATGGGAAAGGACGTCCATTCATTGGTCGTAGTGAGCTCATTTTTTGGTTACCAGGTGATGCCGGGTGCACAGCAACTGATGGGGTACCGTTGGAGCTTAGCGTCCTGGGTGTCCACAGTCTGCATGATCTTCTCCCAGCCCTGCTTGGTGCTGTCGTCGTTGTGGACCTCCGGCACTGACTCTCCTATCGCTTGCGGGGCTGTGGCTGGAGGGCCGCCAATGGGCATAGCCGGCTTGACCGAAGCGGTGGCCGTCGTGGGACGCGGGGCATTCCCCCGTCTGGGTGGAGCCGCCGCGGCCTTTGCCGCCGGTGGCCGCTTGGGCCTGGGCGCGTTCTTGGTTTTCTTCCCCTGACTCCTTGTGGTAGAAGCTGGCGCTAGCGAAGCGGCAGCCGCCACGGCCGACACCACCGACTGAGGTACCTTGAAACCGCTCCCGCTCGCTGCCACGCAGGCCTCGGGGCTTGTTGGGCTCGCGCTAGGCGCCGGTGGCTCGCTGAGCCCCGCCTGGCCGCTCGGAGTGGTCGCCTCCTGGGGGTTGTCCTTGGCGAGCAGGTGGTCGGGTATGGCGAAGTTGTAGGGCAGGAACGAGGGGGCTTCAACTCTGGAGACATAGGCCGCAGGGCTGGGCGACTCGGCCATTGCCTCCGCGGGCACGACTGCGCAGGAGAGGCTGGCCAGGTCGGGCGTGGTCAGCAGCATGGGGGTGGTGGGCGGGATAGGCTGGGGGTCGTCGTCGCAGTAGTCGCCCATGCTGGGCTGGTGGTGGTAGGCCAAGTGGTGCAGCTCCATGAAGCTCTCTGGCTGTCGCGGGTCGGGGCTGTGGAGCCAGCGCAGAGCTGTGGTGGAGGCTATGGCCGTTGTCGAGTAGGAGTGTGAGTTGGTGGTCATCGACGAAGAGACTGAAACCGTTTGTGCTTTGTGTCCAGGTTTGTTGTGATGCTTGATTGAGTAGTAACCAACGAATGTCGTTTCGTTCCGTTGCGCGCCTGCATCGCTGGCGACGCTTCGCCTATGTTACAATGTGTCAGCTCCGATTTGGTGCGTGGTCTTCCTAATTTGGTAATTATCAAACAATTTGAAGACTTTAGACGGATGCGTGTTGGCCGTTCCATGATCTCACGAAATGCCATTCAGTGAACAACATGCCGAGATCACTCTCACGTTTCTTCGTATCTGAACCAAAGAAGAGGAATCAAAATTATTTACAAGAAAATCATTTCTGCCCAACAGAGCATTTGGATGGAATGTGACTGAATCGAGGGGGACGAGGTGGTAGCGGCCAGCCCACAGACCCGCTCACTTGGCGGAAGCGGGTGCAAGGCGTGATGGTCGGTTGTCGACGGCCATCGGCCAGGCAAGCTGGACGATGCGGAGGGCGGTGAGGGGAGTGGTAGTGGAGGTAGTTGCCGAAGGGCGGAGAGCCTCCACTCAGCACCTCCCAGTCCGCCAGCCTCGGGGTGGCTACTGCAGCGTCTGGTTTTTCTTGGTGCTTTTCATGATACCTGCCGCTAACCTGCGCCCTCGTCGTCTCTGAGTGGATCGCTCCGGCTCCTTCTCGCCGAAGGTGCCCGGTCGATGCTCAAACGCCAGACGAAGGAGGAGCGCTTCGACCTCGGTCCTGCTCATTGCATCCCCGCGCAGCAGCGCTTCGAGCCGTGGTAGTTCCTGCCGTCTGTTGTGTTATTGAAAAAGTCTATGTACGTAGTAGTGCCCTTCTTCCGCTGGCCTGCTCCACCGGGGGGGGGTGTTGGTCGTCAGTTCCTGCGTCTGTTTGGGTGTGTGCACAGACAAGTCGGTCCAGGTTATTGTACTGTGACGGGGTCCCGTTCCTGACACTGTGCCCCGCCCTGCAACGCACACCATGTATTCCGTCGCAGCAATAGTTCCAAAATTTGGTAGCACAAAAGGATGGATTCTTGCCCCTTTTTGAGGGCTCGAATGTGTCTGCCGCCAGGTATCCGTTTAGTACTTGATGCCCTTGAACTTGCGCATCTGCTCGGTGATGGCCACTTCGGTGGGCAGTCTGCCAACGACGACGATGACCAACCAGCAGCCATGACAACGGCGAATGTCAGCGACGCCCCAGCGCACTTGCACTAACTAAGACAGAAAAGAGCGAAACGTGTGGACCGGGGGGGGGGTGAGGCGAACCGCTCCATGGATGATGCGCCATAGAACCCATGCACATTTTGTGTGCGTTGGAGGATGTACTCGGCATCTTCGGGCATCGAGATGGGGCCTGTTGATATCAGGTCAATTATCTGCGACACAACACACACACCAACAACACACACACACACACACACGAAGCGTACCACCATGGCAGAGCACGATTACGTCATCGCGTATGGACCTTGCGGCATCGGTGATGTCTGGTATGGGTCCAAAAGGGGATCTAGAGGTGAGCATCGGTAGGTACCGACGAAGACAAAGTGGGTCCCACCTTGAATCAGAGTCACGCACTGGTCCAGGGTGAGCGCAGTCTGTGCGCCGATTGAGCCCGCAGTCGTGAGGCCCATGTGTGCGACGATAATGTCAGCTCCCGCCTGAACACCACATGACACACGACACCACACGACACACGACACACACGACACACACGATAGTTAGCAGTGCCAACCAGCGATAAAGATAGAGAGCGAGCGTTGAAGGATCGCACCGCGGCCATGAGCTTGGCTTCTTCGGCGTTGAAGACGTAGGGGGTGGTCAGGAGACCCAGCTGCCTGGCCTTCCGGATCATGTCCACCTCCAGCTGGTACGACATGCCCGTCTCTTCGAGGTTCTTCCTGGCCATCGTACGATGTAGAAGCTGACGACGTCAGCAGACATTCCACACATTTCGTGCGTGTGGAATGCACATTCCATTGGCCTCAATGCTTGTGTGGGGAGGGAGACCTGAAGTTGCCGTCGATGAGGCCCACGGTGGGGAAGTTCTGCACGCCGGCGAAGCCCGTCTTCTTGATCTGTTACGCCGGCGGGCGCCCCGTAAGATAACAAACGCGCCCAAGGGGAAATGACAAGTGTTTGTTATACCTGCTTGAGGAATTGATCCATGTTGCGGAAGGGGTCCGTGGCGCACACACCCGCCAGCACGGGCACATTCTTGACAATCGGCAATACCTGCGTATCATACCACAGCACGCACGCACGCACGCACGCACGGCGCACGCACACACACACACACACGACAGGTGTGAGACAGTTGAGCTGAATGAACGTGGTATGAGCAGTGTGATGGATGGGACCTCTCCGGCCATTTCCATGACGATAGCGTTGGCGTCCTTGTACGGCAGCAGGCCGGCCAGAGAGCCACGACCGGCCATACGGAATCGGCCCGAGTTGTAGATCACGATCATGTCCACTGTCGTCATCAACCAGAAGGAAAGAAAGAGATGGAGAAGAAGAAGAAACACATGAGTCTAGTTAACCACCAATCATCATCGAATAGTTGCAATACCTCCACCGGCCTCCTCGAACTTGGCCGAGATGCCGCAGCCAGCCCCACCGCCGACGATCGGCTTTCCTTCGTTCACGTTTTGGAGCAGCCGCGTGAGGATTTTCTCGCGGATGGTGGTGGGCGGCACGGGGAGCTGCAGCGTAATGGGCGCGTGCACCCGACGCTCGCCTGGCGCTGCCTTCTGCTGCACTCCCTCGTCCTTGGGCTGCCTCCGGTCTCCCTCCGCCTTGGGCTCCTTTTCCCTCTTCTGCAAATTATTTATTATTATTGGTAAATAATAATGAAAATGTATAATTGCCAGAGAAAATGGGGAGTTACCTTGGCGATGAGTTCCAGCAGGACGGCCACCGCCTTCTGCGAGAAGGCGGCATCGTTGATATTGGCGTCGATCTCATACACGGGAATGTCGGCACGCACGTTTGCCTGCCGCGCACACACACGAGAGGTGGTGTGATCTTGCTGCACGTGCTTACATTCACGATCCACGATCGTTGGCCCGCAATGTGCACCTTGATGGCGTCGAATAGGGCCTGGTCGGCCTCGCGATCGCAAAACTTGCCGCCGTCCGCATCCAAGATCGACACACCTGCACACCCGGCGCGTCTCAGCTTAATGCTGCGGATGTGAGCGGAGCTGCGGGGCCGGGCGAAGGGCCAGTACCGCGCAGGGGAAGCAGGAAGGCGACGGGTCCGGTGGCCGCGTTGGCCTTGTCGGCAAGAATCTTGCCCAGCCGGGCGTTCTCCTCCGCACTGGTGCGCATCAGCGTGACCGAAGGGTTCCACTCGTACAGCTGCCGATCTCTGCGTCGGTCGGTCGGTCGGTCGGTCGGTCGGTCGGTCGGTCGGTCGGTCGGTCGGTCGGTCGGTCGGTCGGTCGGTCGGTCGGCCACGAGCAGACGATGTTCAGAAATGTCTGGTGACCAGTGGGTTGGGTTGGGTTGGGGGAAGTTGGTAGCGAACCGGTACTTGTCGGGCACGGTCGCGCGGGCGCCAAAGTTGACCATGTCCAGGCAGCCGGGGGCGATCAGATGCGGAATGCCCAGCTGGCGGCCGGAGAGCGGGAGAGTCAGAAGAGAGAGAATGAAAATGAAAATGAAAATGAACATGAAAAGGGTGGTGATGACTGCAGGTACTTGGCCCGGGCGATCGAGCCGCTCGGGACCCGAGCTGAACACGCCACCGCACAACTCGTCGGCCCACTCCGTGGTGGTGAGGTCCTGCACGGGAAAAAAAAACACGTTTATACACAAAGCGCGATTGTTGCCAAGCCAAAGCGCCTTTTGGGCGTACCAGCACGCCATCGACCAAGCTGTCGTCGGCATCGAGCACAGACTCCATCGACCGACCGCCGGTTCCTGCAACGACACGACACGACACGACACGACACGACACGACACGACACGCGATGGCACGCCGTTGGCTTGGCGGGAAGAAGAGGGGTGGCGTAGGCGGGGTGGGTGGGTACCGACGGAATGGAAGACGAGCACCTCGTAGCCGTGCTCGTCGGTGAGCAGCTTGCGCGCATTGTCGACACACGTGGTGGTGTTGCCGAACATGGACGCCACGACGACGGGCTTGCGCGCGGCGGTGCGCTGCGACTCCTTCGTCTCCACTTCCGCCCCTTTGGCCACCATCCCGCTCACCATACCGCTGACCACGCACGCTGCGTGTCCCCCGCACCACATGAGCCCTGACCCACACACGCGTGGCGTGCGTGTGCGTGTGCGTGTGCGTGGCGTGTCTGTGCGTACCGGTGGAATGGATCTGAGCATTGGAGATGCGGTTGAGCCCAGCGACGTCGACGATGGAGGGAACGAAGACGATGTTGGAGCCCGCCGCGAAGCCGGTAACGTCTCCCCCGCCAATGGTCGACATGCACACTAACGCCCGCCATTCAGTTTAGTACCTGCCGACCAGCTCCCGCTCGTGTGTGCGTGTGGGACGAGGAATACACCTTTGGCCACGTGGAATGGGAGAGCCCGCATGGCGGCCGTGATGATGCTGGTGCCCGCTAGCCCAACAAGGAGATAGGCCATGTCAGCGTTGAGCAAACGGTGTGGTGTGCGGTGTGTGCGGCGTGTGCGGTGTGTGTTGTGTTCGCTGTGCGATGCTGTGTACCTGAGCCGCCCAGACCGACGATGCCGTGGAAGGGGAGCGTGCGGTGGAGCGTGCGAAGGAAGACGGGCGCAGCCTCGTGCATGAGCTTCATCGCTTCGCCTCGGTCCGTCGCGCTGAGTTCCTTTCCGATCGCTTGCATCACCTGCAACAACAAGGACGTGATGGTGGAGGCGGAAGTCAGCCAGCCTCCCGGGCCAGCCTCACCTCGAGCGTGGCGTGTTGTACTGCTACGTACCTTGGTCGCTTCGTAGTTGACCGGGAAGAGCTGGGTGGAGCCGACGGTGCCCACGTTGACGGTGATCAGCTCATGCTGCGGAGCCACCTGTTGGCCCCGCCATGTGGGTGCCACCACGAACATGCAAAGATTTGCGGCACATTCAATCTTCTACATCCACAAGTCCAGATCTTTGTGTAGAGAGTCTCAAACAAGATTTGGTGTGACCGGTACCTGCTGGATGCAGCGGCGCAGGTGGGCGTGCTCTTCACCCTTGGTGTCGAACGTGCCGACAATGACGATGCGGCCTCCTCCTTCCATACGTTATTTTATCGCCCGCGGTTCCTGGGTGCGGTGAATAAAGAAACAGGCTGTGTAGTCCCTCTTTATCTCGGCCTTCTGATCACCCATATCGCCGCGTGTAGATATACCTTACTCCGGTCCATGGACTGTGTGCGCACACGTGTGCGGTTGGGCAACACGAAGGCTCTGCGGAGGGGTCGGGAATGTAATGAAGTGTATCCGGGGTTTATATTCATCTTCCTCTTCTTCTCTTCTTTACATAGGGGCGTGGCATCTTACGTCTTGACGCGCGCCACCAGATGGAGATATACAAGGGGCGTAGATGGAGATGGAGAGCCACGCAAGCGACACAGACAAACACGAAACAAATAAACAAGCAAAACGCACACCACACACGCGCACACAACGAAGAAAGCAAGAAACGAAGGCGAGGGGGAGTGCCCTCCTCGCTCCGCTCGCTATCTGCTTGATGGGTTCGTGACGTCACTGGCCGCGGGCGTAGTAGGCGGGGTAGCCAGAAGGGGGCCAAGCCTGAGCGTGGAATGCGTTGTGTCCTCCTCGTCCGTTGGTGTTGTAGTAGTTGTAGTTGACGTTGGGTGCGTAGCGAGCCGCGAAGCCGGCGTGCGGGTTCGGAGCGCTAGCCCCGCCTCGGCCACCTCCGATTCCGGCCGTCATTCCTCGCGCAGCTCCTCTTCCTCTTGCGCCGCCTCGGCCACCTCTGATCGCTGTCGTCTTGCCATAGGCCACGGCCGCCGCCGCCGCCGGGGTTTTGCTCGTGGCGACATGGATGTCTATCGCTTGTGTGTATGCCTTCTCGTATCGCTTCCTTATTTCCTCGAGCGTGGAGTCGGGCCATATGATGCGGCAGAGGATCGACTTCTCTCCCGGCTTGCGACAGGGAGCAGTACCTGGAGGGCGACCGCCTACGATGAGCCGTTGGTACGCTTCTGCCAACAGCTGTCTCACTCCCTCGATGTTCCAGCACCCTTTCCCCACGTCCTTGTCTGTGCGACGTAGGCGCGCGAACCAAATAGTCAGCGGTTCTTGGTTAGCACGCACCATAGCCAGCACCCATAGGCCCTATATACGTGCCTGAGTTCTCGGGATCTTCGACGGCCAGATACAAGTTCTCGCAGAACGGATACCTGGAGTTAATGAAGGAGGGAGAGGAACGGGAGGAAAGGGAAGAAGTTCAGGTGAAAGCAGGTGGGAGCAAACCGAACGGCCCTGGTCTGCACAGCTCCAGTAACGCCAAGTCGCAGTTACCTCGTGGACTTATCGAAGAGTGAACCGGATTCTCGCACCGAGATGCCCTGAGAATAGTCGAGGTTGACGCCAATCTCGAAGAAGAAGTCCGCGAACAAGCGTCCTAAGAGCTCGTCGTCATCTGCGGTCGGCTCGGCGATGGATTGCGTCCGGCCGTTGTCCGATTGGGCCTGCTCCTTCGCTTGCGTCGAATCGATTCCCTGCTCGGTAAGCAGCTTTTCCCTGATGAGGTCCGCCTTGGCGCGAATCTGATTGAGCGCTAACGCCCGAATTCGCTCTTCCTCGTCCTTCTTCCTTCTCTTTTGGATCACGTGGATCAAGAGCAAGACCAGCAGGTAGCTGCCCATGCCGCCCTCAAACGTTTCATTCCTATGCATGAAAGGGCACGACACGCGATAAGCTCGGGCAGGGTATAGAGGCGTCATGACGTACATCTTCTGTTGGCGCAGAAAATATTTAAGCACCAAGGCTAGTGGTTTGAGATGAGGCAAATCTTGTAGCGTGCATATCAAGATCTCCGAACTGATCGGGCCAGATGTGTTGTCCAAACAAATGTCTATCGCGATTTGGGTGCTCCTGCATGGTAGAGTTCATGAGTGAGCAATGCACGCATACCTAATGACGAGGGAAGAAAGGGGAGATAAGAGGATGGACACCAGTCGATCATCTTGATTATCGGCACTTTGGCGTTGTCGATGACCTTCAGACCGCCAAGATTGCTGGCTAGGCATTCGACAAGTATTGAATGTGAGCGTAAGTCCAGGACTCGTAGACACAGAGTAAAGCAGCGAGACTTACCTTGTGGCTGCTGTTTGCGTATCGCAGCGGCCAGTGCGCGGAGAGGAGAAACGTTCCAAGGGGTGGGCGTAGCACCAGTAACCACCAAATCGATGTCACTGCGGCGTGCATCAGGTAAGTGTACACAGTACACAGCGCGACGAAGAGCAGGGCGTACCTCCCGGAAAGGCAGAGCTTTGTCTTGGAAGATCCAAATAGGTGTACGTTGGCGTGCGGCCAGATACCACGTATCGTTTGCGTTACTCTGAAGGGGTAGATCACCAAGGAACGTTGGTCGGACCGTAAGACCACTCTACGAGTAGGTGAGGTACCTGTTGAGCGCTTCGTAGCGTGCTTTCCACTCATATAGAGTCGGCGACACCCACTCGGCTAAGTCCTTGACCTCTTGGCCGAGTGCGCGGTAGAACTCATCTGGTCGCGGCTGGTCTTCCTAGACACACGTACGTCGCCGCTCGTGAGTTCGTTGGCCCGTCAAGCATAAATCAAGAGCTGCACGCACACTTTGGGCTGGTGGTGAGTAGAGCCGGTCCTTGTGTGCCCACGGCGGGCTTCTCGTGTCGGACAGTTTAGTAGCGGATAGGACCTGAGGACTTAGCCGTGTCGCCGCTGGCTGACTCGTCGTTTGGCGCACAGGCGAAGAGGCCGACGAGCGGGCAGGCGAACTCGAGGGCGAGGATGAACGTGCTGGGGACGAGAGGAAGGTACCAGCACGGGCAGGCGATAGAGTGGCGGTGGAGGATGTAACTGATGGCTGTACAACTGCAGGAGGGACCTGTGACGGAACAGGTGACAGTACAGCGACCGTAGGGCGAGGAGGAGAGGCAGAAAGCGGGGCTGTAGAAAGAGAAGTAGAAAGATCTGCTGCAGTAGAAGGGCGGGAGTCTGCAAGGCAAAGGAGATGTTAGAAAGTGTGAAAAGCACCTGAAGGGAATACGTACGCTTGAGGAAGGAGGGCAAAGTAGGAGCTTGTCGCGCGAACAGTTCGTGCTCGAGCGTGTAGCACGACGATTTCTCATCTCCATCCGATACTCGCTGAAGGTGGTCTACCTCTTCGAGGCGCCTGCGCTTATTCGGATGCTCGTCGGCTCCGTTATGTCGTGAATCGTGAAACGAGGCTTCTTCCGTTGGTTGCCCAAGAGGGATGTAGTCTAGGATGTGAGAGGTGTTGCCATTCTTGGTGCCATTTTCGTAATGGGCCGGGCGAGAGGAACCGGCGCACACATTGCTCGTGCCGTTGTTGCTGGGAGGCTGCTCAATCTGCGCCGAGATGGAAAGAAATCTATCAACGAATAGCCAGAATGAAATCATTACCATAGAAATGCAGCACCTGGCGTTTACGGCGGAGGAGCCATGAGAGATGTGGAAGCTTCTGTAGGAGAAGGTCATCGAGGGCTTCATCGGACGACCCTTGATCCATGAGCTCTCTACTGCCGGCAACGCGTGGTGTTCTGTGCAGGTGACTTGTCTCGCGTGTAAATGGCAGAAAATTTCCAGAGGCGGGCCAAGCGAAGAGCTGAAATATTTTGCATTCCTCCAACAAGAGACAACCCTCCTAGCTCGTGCGCATTCATCAATTCAAGACAGGATGGGAAACAGTGTGGCCAAGGTGGCGGTGGACGGTGCAATGAACTCGGTGGGGTTGGGAGGCGATGACAAGTCAAGCGGGGGTGGAGAAAACTCAGTCGTGGATGGTCTTACGGAAGCAGCTGAGGGCATCTACAACGGGGTGACGCTTGGCGCCGAGCAAGGGGTGGCGTCGTACAAGGTGGCGAAGAGCAGAAACGTTGCCGATGACCTCAAGGCCAAGTACAAGCGCGATGGTCCCGTCTCCCGTACCGTCGTGGATGAAAAGAATGCCCAACAGAAGCGAGAGCGATCGAAGAAAACAGCAGAGAGCATCAAGGCCAAGTACAACAAGTAGGGCCATCTGATGGAGATACCGAGAGATCTTGAATTTTGATAATGGAAGTTATTGTACAGTTTCGATAATTCGTAGAGATGAATGCCTTGGCCGTTTCCTCACTGTCCACTGTTTTAGATTTTCCTTGCGAGATTTACATCACCGTTTCTGAATTGGCGCGAAACGCAAGGCGCCAAAACAGGGGAACGCAGAAAGGGAACAAGCGCAGCCGCTCCATAACGCTACGTAGGAAGATGGAGGAATCGTTTGCTCTTGCCATCCACAAAGCCTTGCACAACTGGCGCGACGTTGAGGGAGAAGTGGACCTCCTAGGCGATGGCGAAATCGTGAGGTAACGACGAGGTTGAGCTCATTCGCCATTCCAAAAACTCAAATTGTTGTTCTCTCTCATGCGCAGCTTCTCCACTGCCCCGAACGGCTGCCGAGTCGCTGAGTGGAGAGGGCACCGCCTCATGGAACAGAACAAATCTAAATCAACAAGCTGGGGAGTAAAGGCGAAGAAGGTACGTCTTGTCCTGCCGTGGCGAGCAGTCTTCGCAGGACGCTTACGGACACCAACGGACGTAGGGCGCTCGCATTACGTGGGTGTTGAGTGCCCCCCGCTGGGGCTTGATTCAAGATGATGCGATCGTCCGCGGATGCTCAGCCATAAAGGGCTCGAAACCCTCCACGAAGGCAGACCCCAGCGACGATGAAGAAGAAGAAGACAAGGCTTACTCCAAGGTACGGTCAGATAGATCTTCCTATTGATCTCTTTCTGTCTTGACTCTTTGCGTCTGTAGCAGACCAACGCAAGCGAGGACGAAGATGAGGAGGAAGAAGAAGAGGAAGAGGAGGAGTTCGACATGAGCAACAAGATTACCGAGCTGAGGGCGTTTACCAAGAAGCACGGCATCAAGGTAGTTGGAAGGAAGAAGGAAGACGTGCTCAACGCCATCACGAAGTGGAAGAAGCAGCGCAAGCTCGAGAAGGAGGCACGAAAGGCCAAGGCCGCCAAGCCGCAGGAGGACGAGGAGGCCAGCGAGGACGAGAACGCGGAACAAGACGAAGAAGAGCAAGAGGAACGCGTCAAGACCCCGGCCAAGGCACCCGCGCGCCCTGCAAAGAGGAGAAGCAAGGCCGGACTGACCGAACGTAAGGCGGAGGAAGTAGAGCAGGCCGCTCCCGAGGCCCCCGCCACGCCCGAGAAAGAGGAAGAAGCGGCTGTCAGCGAACCCGTCGAAGTGGAGGAGGAGACCCCGGTGGTCGAGGAGCAAGCGGCGCGAGCTGAAAAGATCAGCGAGGAAAGCGAGCAGGACGAAGGCGAGATCGATACCGACCTCGACCTCGACCTCGACAAGCTGGACAGCTACAACCTCAAGACGCTCAAGGCCTACTGCGAAGAGGAGGGCCTCAAGCTGCCGGCTGGTGCGAGGAAGCAGGATTACATCACCGCCATCCTCGACCACAACGCCGACATCCTCGACGAAGACGACAACCACGATGGCGCAATGGTCGAGGCGCCCAAGCCCAAGTCCCCCGAGCCGAACCAGGTTGTTGGCGCCGCATCACCGGTTCAGGCCGAGCCCAAGCAAGACGAGAACGACGAGGATCTGGACCTCGACGAGCTGGACCGCTATTCCATCGCAACGCTGAAGAAGTATTGCGCGGACGAGCGTATCGCTGTGGCGGGGACCACAAAGGAGGCTTACGTGAAGGCCATACTCGACTACAACGACTCGGAGCGGTCCTGGCTCGAGGTGTCGAGGGCCGATGACGAGTCCCCGCGCGAGGAGACGAAGACCAGCGACAAAGAGGAAGCCAAGCGCGATGGCGAGAAGAAGGCCTCTGTGGAGTGCGACGTCGAGGAGGAGACTGAGGAGACCGAGGTCGCGATGTGGAAGAGGAAGGCCGCCAAGTGGAAGCAGAGGGCCAGGGAGCTGCAGCGCTTCAACGAGCTCCAGACCAAGTCCCCGCACCACCAGATGAGGAGGGCGAGCGGCAACAACAAGGAGAACGCCTCGCCCGCCCAAGTCGCCAAGACCGGAGTCCGGGCCTGAGCGGCACTCCCCCCCCCCCAAACCCACGCAGACTCAGCCTGGAGCCGCTTCTGCTCTCCACCCCGCAACCACTACCACCACTTTAACCAGCAATAGATGCCGTACTTTCTTTTTCTCGAGATAACCGTCATCGATCTAGCCCTGCTCATAGGGCCGCACGTCGTAGTCGGTCCGGGCCTTGACCATGGGCAGCGCCGCCAGCACGGCCTCGACGTCGGCGCGACTCAGCAGCGGCAGGCCCAGCACGTTGAGGATGCGCAGGCTGCGACGGCACACGCTCGTCTCGCTGTCGGCCAGCGCGCGCACGCCCAGGGCCGTCACGCCGCCGCTCTTCTGGAGGTCGAGCGTGTGGAGCCGGGGCAGGTGGCGCGCCGCGGCCACCACGCACGAGTCGTCGACGCTGGCGCTGCGCAGCCGCAGAACCGAGAGGCGCGTGCAGCTGGCGATCATGTGGGCCATGCCGCGCGCGGTCAGGTTGGCACAGTCGCGGATGTCGATCAGGGTGAGCGTGGCAGAGAGGTACGTCGCGATACTGTCCAGCGCCACGTCCTCGATCACGAGCCCTGCAAGCGGGTTGGGTGAGTTCTCCACACGACACACACGACACACACGACACACACGACACACACGACACACACGACACACACGACACACACGACACACACGACACACACGACACACACGACACACACGACACGTACCTTGGATATCTAGCTTACGCATCCGGTTGTATTGGCCAGGTGTTCGAAGGTTGCGCTGCTGACAATGCCCGAGAACTTGGCCACCAGCTTCTCCAGGTGGGTGCAGCTGTCCAGCATGGCCGACACCGCCTCATCGCGCACCATTGGACAGCCTGTCCCCTCATCATCCGCCGCCCCCATTGCACGTGAACACGACGCGACACACACACCTCACCAGGGAGCGCGACACCCTGTACGCACACGACACACACACACACACACACACAACTGGTTGAAACAGGCGTACCCCAGATATTGAGCGATCGCAGGGTGGTCGGGTGGTGTTCGGCGAGAGCGCGCACGGTCTGGTCGGTGATGGCGGCCAGGGCTTGCAGGTCGAGCTTCTCCAGCTGCGTGCAGCCCCGGACCACCGCCACCACGCCCGGGTCCTTCACCCGGTAGCAGCCCTTCAGCCGGAGCGCCGCGAGCTGCGGGCACTGCGCCGCCAGCGCCGCCAGGCCGGTCGACGTGATCTGCGTGCACGACTCGAGCGACAGCGAGCGCAGCGCGCTGAACCGGCCGAACGACTCAGCCAGCTTGGCGTCGGTCAGGCGCCGCAGGCCGCACAGAGTGAGCGCGGTCAGGCGCGACCCGGCGCCCGATGGGTGGTTGGCCGCCGCGGCCACGATGGCGTCGGCGGACATGTCCGACCGGCAGCGGGCGAGGTGGAGCCCGGTCAGGCGCGTGCACGATACCAGGAGCGTCGAGACGGCGTGCGGGCCGACGTTCAGCTGAGTGCCCACCACGTCGAGCCGCTCCAGCTTGCCGCATCGACGCGCCACCACTTCGATCGCCATGTCCCCCCTCGAGCTGGAGTGCACTCAGGCGTCAGCAGAGCTTAAAGAGAGCTCTTTGGGGGGCGCTAAGGGGGGCGGTACGGTGCAGAGTGATCGGTGGTGGCGGTCTGGGGGCGGACGGCGTGCAGGCGGACGTGGCGACGTTGGCGCCAGCAGAGGGCGGCCCAGGCGCGGCAGGTCGCCGTGCACGCGCATAGGTCCCGCACCGAATCGAGCCACCCGAACACCTGCTCCCACACCTCCGACGGCAGCAGCACCTCTTCGGGGTGACCCTCACTCACTTCCATCTTTTAACAAAAGATGGATCTGCTTTATTATTTTATTTTATTTTATTTATTGCATCTTTTCTCTTTCGTGGCAGAGCGAGAGAACGGAGTGAAAAGGCCATCACCAAACAGAACATGACCTTTATGTTCGACCCTGGTGGCCTACACGTCACTCACTACCTGCAGGCGAGTGGTTGAAGTGGATTTGTTTATTTGATAAAGGAAAAAATGAGAGAGGCGAGTTGAAGTAGAAAGGTGAAGGGGGTGAAGAGAGATAACAGACGGATCGGGGCGGGCCTTCACTCCTTGGGCAGCCAGTGTGGTTTACATCCTCCCGAGCATACTCGTACCAGGCGGTCCCCGCTGCCACCACCGTCGTCTTCTTCCTTCCTTGAACTTCCTGCTGTCGTCCTCGTCCTCCTCCTCGTGTCGCTGTTTGTTGTTGTTGTGGATGTTGTGGGTGTTGTCGTCGCCGCCGCCACCGCCTCTCCTGATGTTCCTGTCTCATCTGAGGGGAACTTCTCTTCGTCCTCTTTTCCGCTCCGGCCCGGGGCTATCGATCTCGCTCGCCATCGCCTCGCCCCGGCCAGCTCTTTCCTCCTTCCACGTGCCGCCGCTGTCGTCGTCGATCGACGATCATCATTATCATCATTTACATGCCTCCGTGCTGGTGGTGGAGGTGGTGGAGCTGCTGATGCTGCTGCTGGTGCTGGTGCTGCTGCAGTTCACTCGCCCCGTGGTGATTATGGAACTGGTGGTGGTGTTGTGGCTGCTGCTGCGCCGCCACGTCCTGCGATGACTGCGGAAACGAGAGACCGGAGAAGGACGTTGGCTCGCCGGCCGACACCACGGACCCGTCGCCGGCGTTGCCGTTGCTGTGGTTGGCGACGGCCATTCGCTGCTTGCCGGTCAGGCCGTCGTTGGAGTTGTCGCTGTCCCGCCCCTCCGCGTCGTCGTCATCGTCATCGTCGGTGTCGCCCCGCTGGTCGATCACGATCTCGTCCCTCTCGTCGTCGCCGCTCCCGCTCTGGCTGCCGCTCGACGAGTGGCCGGTGCCCTTCCCGCCGCCGTGCTCGCCTTCGCTGCCCTCGCCTTCCCGCCCGCTGCCGTTGCTGTCGCTGTTCTCGCCGGGCGAGTTGCGCCTCTGTCGCTTGGCCGGGTGGTTCTCATCGCCCTCGCCGTCCTGGTCCGCACCACCGGTCGAGCGCCTCTCGCGATCGTAGTCCTCCGCCACGTCGTCGTCTCGCGTGAGGAAGGCCTCGTCGTCTTCGAGCTTGATGCCGGGGACCATCAGCTTCAGTCGCTTGTTTTCTGTGATGAGCTTGGCGCACAAGTTTTGAACCTGTGTGTGCGTGCGGTGAGGAAAGGCGTAAGTCACTTTAAAGTGTCCGAGCTGGCGAAGGTGGTAAAGAAAGATGCGGCCGAATCATGGGGGAGTGTGCCACGTGCCTGTGTCAAGTGGTCGGCGGCTTCCGTGAGGACTTCCACTTTCGTTAATCGCCGATCGTTGGTCACCTGAGGTGGGTATGATAGGATATGATGCGAAGCGTGAGCAATGACACCGCAGCAGGGGGGGGGCATGCCAGAGCGTGCGCGTACCTGTTGAGGTAGAAGGGTCTTCAGTCTGTCGATGGCGCCGTTCATGTCGCTGCGCCGCCTCTTCTCTGCCATGTTGTGTCGCTCCTTCCGCACTTCCTCCGCCTGCGCCTCTTCATTCTTGTTCCTGTGGGAGAGGCCATGATACGATATACGGATCAGTCGACGCGGAAGAGGGTGGCAACAGAGGAAGGTGCCACACGGGGCAAAGAGAAGGTGTGCCCGGGCTCCAACCTTTTGGCCTTGGTGTCTATCTGATCCCACTTGGAGTAGAGCTCGAGCAGGTCTGCGCATCATACAAATGGGGTGAGTCATAAACCACGAACCGCAGAAAGTGAGTTCAGATGGTTACACTCCATCATGTTGTTGTGTATTTACAAAAAGTGTATTATCAAGAATGTGGACCCCAGATAACATTTGGCCCAAAAAGGAAGAGAAAATGCACGGGAAGGAGGGAGGAACGAAAACGGGCCGTGGCGCGTTACGGCGCAATTCCTCGACCGCGAAAGAAGTCGGTCGGGACGAGGGTGCAACCAATCTTTTCTAACGCGCACCGGCGGTGGGGCGCAACAAGAAGCCTTCCGCTCCACAGAGAGAGACGGCCACAACACCCACTCACCCCCAAGCAGCTCACGGCCACGCGAGGCCATCAATCGCGAGAATCGAGATCGAATTTGTGGAAATGGAATGGAATGTTCGACAACACTAATCTAGCTCATAGATGAGCACCATCGAGGAATCTTCGCGAGATAACAATAACAACAGCGAAGAAGAACATCACTGGCAGACACCAGGACGAAGACAAAAGCAAACGAAAACCACCGAACGAAAGAGGTAGCGAAATTTCGAGGACGTGCGATGATCTGTGGATCGAGGGGGTACCTTTGGGATTCATCGAGGCGGCCGTCCTCACCGTGGGCGGCTGTTGCGGTACCGAGTTCGACGATTGGTGCTGCTGCTGCGAACCGGCGCTCGAAGCGCCAGCGATATGGCTCAGTGACACGGCGGCCTGGTGGGCGGCCCCGCCGCCGTTCCCGAGCTGCGAAGCCATCGAGGGCGCGGGCAGTTGGGCGCCGCGATCGCCGCTGCCACGACCCGGAGCAGGCAGGCCGTAGCCGTCGTCGGTGCTTCCTCGCTGCGCCGATGATCGCGGAGACGATTTCTCGCTCAGGCCGCCGCCCATCCCGCCAGCGTGGCTCGGGAAAGGATTGGCGCTGCCGCCGTAGAGGCGATCCGAGTGGCCGCTCGTGGATGGCAGGCCGTACTGCTGCTGCGGCAGGGATACGCCATACGGAGAGGGTCCCATGCCGCCGGCTGCCTTCGAAGGCATCTGGTGCGCGAGGCTGTCCTTGAACGCTTCGCCAAGCCGCGACATCTGGTGGGCGGCGGCAGCGGCCGAGAGCGTATTGACGCCAAGATCTGCGCCGCCCGGCTGCATCGTCGACGGATTACGCGCTACGCTCGACATCGGTGGCAATACTCGCTCGCCCAGCAGGCTGCTTGGTGAAGGCTGATGCAGGCCTCCATGGTACGGATGGGAAGGGGCCTGCTGCTGATGCTGCGAGCCACGAATGGACGAGAAGGGGAAGGAGGGCCTGGAGGAGACAAATGGCCGACATGGAGGATTAGATTTGAGATGGCGGAGGCGGCTGCAATGCGGCGGCATGTGTGCTGACAATGTGCGCGTATCCATTATCCAGGCAAAGGGGATGCTGCAACGTACAGCTGTTGCTGCCCTGATGGAACCTGCTGACTGTAGTAGCTCTTCCCGCCTTCGTACTCGCCGTAGCCATCGGTAAGGCCCTGCCCTCCGTTGTATCGTTGATCTTGCCCGCCATAATTCATCTCGAATTGGCGAGTCGGGTAGCCCCCTTGGCTATTTTCGTTAATTGGGGTATCTATCTCTCGTCTCTAGGTGTCCCTGGCGCTGCTGGAGACGCCAAGGATCTTCTATCTACTTCTTAATGTCTTCAGGCACTTCGATGATGTTGAAAGAGGTCTTCTTCCAAGCGCGTGCGCCCTTTTCCCCTTGTCTTCTTTCTCTTCTCGCAGGTGCGGGCTCACCTACTGAACTGCGTCGGTTACGGTTCGCGATGGTGGTGATGGTGTTCGTCGTTAGCCCCGCCAAGTCCCCTCGTGCCTCTCCAAACGGGTATGCTGGTGGGTGGTGCTTCTTCTTCTGCTCTCGTCTCCTTCTCTTCGACTTCTCTTTCTCACGCTCTGGTCCGACACCTGCGCCGATGATTTATTTGTTTGGTGCTTTTCCGGCTTCTTGCGCGTGGCTGCCTACGCGTGACGTCATTCCCACACGAAATTTCAATCCTGCCTTCCTAAAGCCCGCCAAGATCAAGGCCTGGCTTCCGACCGCCACCTTAACCTTTATTGAATTTACGGCAAAATCGACGTCAACCGGAAGCGGGGAAGTGGATTTGTGTGGTTTAGGCTCGATCCAATATTTCGAGATCGACAGCACATCTGAGCTCTGCCGGAGCTGAGGAGCCGTTTGGCCACACGTGCACATAAGAAGAGATAGCTCCCCCAAGACTACGCTCACACGCCCAGAAACTGGCCGAGCAAGTCAGAGAGAACTCCCAACGCCAGAACCAGCTATTGGCGCCAAGCTGTTGCTTTGCAACGAGCTGCTGACCTATCGGCAGATCCTCAACGCCCAGGAGTCACCTCCCACAATCTCACCACCAGGTCAAGGCCTTCTCCCAAATTGTTCATACAACCACACCTTGGGCTACTACTGCGTCTCCTGAGACTTGGACGAGACATCCAGGCACCGTGGTGTGTGTGAATAAATTTCACCTTTATCCTCTTTCCTCTTTGCGTGGGCATGCAAGCGGTGGCGAAGTGGCTGGGTAGCAGAAGAGCGGGTGGGCCGCGAAGTCGAGGCGCTGGCGGCAGATGAGCGACTGCACGATCCACTCGATGGTGCACACCGGCCCGTCGTCGCCTCCCTCCCGGACGCCACCGTTCGTCGCGGCCTCGTCGCGGCCATCGTCTTCTTGCCCCGCCTCCTTGAGCTTCTCCTTCGTCTGAAGAAGAAGCGAAGAAGACGACGCGGCCCTCGTGAGGTAGGTCTCCTTCTCCACCACCGTGCAGCGAAGCGAAGGCGGCCGTGGTCGCTTACGACTCTGTTGACTCTTCTTGCCGGCCGTGGACTTGGGCGGCCCGCCCTTGCACTCGCCCTCGTTCCCTGGCTCGCCGGTCTGGACCTCCACCTCGGCGCCAGCCTCCTCCAGCACCAACCTCCAGTATTTCTGAATCACGCACGTTGTTGGTGTTCAATTTGCCAACGTCGTGTGTCGTGTCGTGTTGTACCATGAATTGGCGCGAGCCAAGTATTTTGATAGACACACCAGCAAAGACCGCCATGGGCCAACTCTCGTGGCTGTCAACGCACAACGCACAACGCACATTGATGAGCCCAGAGGAGCAGTGCCAGACAAAGTAATAAATATACGTACTGGAAGATCCGCTTTTCATCGACCAGGGACACGCCAGCGGGCAGAAGGTAGGGGCGGTAGGGCAGCGGACAGCCCTGCTCGGCCGAATGCAGGAGCCACCGATAGTGGATCGTCGGAATGCCCTGCCCGGTGCGTGGTGCGTGGTGCGTGGTGCGTGGTGCGTGTCGTGAGCACAATGATGAAGGGGTGCGAATCATGAAGGGTGGCGGGTACCGCAGCGAGGGCCATGAGGTACTTGAGCGTGCGGTGGTGCTTGTCCGAGATGAGGATCACCGACGGCAGGTCGCCCCACGCGCTTCGCCACACAAATCCGCGACTGCCGACCAGCTGCTGGTCCTGCTGGCGGAGGTGGGCCATCCGGTTGATCACCGTGCCGCCCAGGTCTTCGATGAGCTCCTTCACCTCCGCTTCTGCATTTCACACACATTCTTGAGTTTTTCAATCAAAATAAAAAATAAATAACATAAATATAAATAAATAAATAATTTATACCTTGCATGACGCGTGGTGGAAGCCGGGCAGGGGAGGTGGCGACCGAGGTCGATGCGTTGACGTGCGGCTTTTCCTCGTTGAGCCCGGTGAGGATGAAGTGGAGGCCGGCCAGCATGGGCTTCGAGGCCGCCTGCTCGTCGGTCTCTCTCCGCCTCTTTGCCCTCTGTGGGCGCAACTAGCGACCGACGCAACACGCAACACGCACGCGACACGAACACGACACTCGCGTCAGTCCTTATCCCGCGGTTGGGCGATGAGCGACGGGCGCCGCCTACCGTGTGTGCAAAGGGATCCTCGCTCAGCTCCTGCGATTGACGGGCGGTGGCGAGCGCCAAGGGCGCCGCCGGCGTTTGGCCGCCCTTCGGCCGCTCGCCCGCCGTCCCCGTGCCCGTCTCCTTGGACCCCGTGGTCTGCTCCCTCTTGGTCGACTTCTTGGTCGTCTTCGGTGTCTTTGGCGTCGTAATCGTTGGCGTTGTTGTGGTCGTGGTCTTGGCCGTGATTGCCGGCTGTTTCACGATCACCACCGGACCTCGGTCTGCCGCATCTGCGTAGTGTGTGATGACATACACACCGCGGTCAGAGCACGTGCCAGTCCGGCTGAGTGTTTTGACTGGTCGGCGGGTGGCGTTAGAAGGTACCTTCGTTGTGGCCTTCGATCTCGGTCAGCGACGACGACGAGGGAAAGGAGGGCAGCGACGGCACCAGCGGCAGGATGGAGGTCGCCACGACCGCTGAAACCCCCTCCCGCTCTGCGCTGCTGCTGGCAGCCTTGATCTTCGATTGTGGATCGTCTTTCTCGTCCCTTTTCTTCAACTCGCATTCTTGATCGTGGCCCTCTTCCTCCTTCGCTTCTTTATGTCCGATGTCGATGGCGGGCTTTGCCTCGCGCTTGGCGCCGGAGGAGCCGCCGCCGAGATCTCCGCCGCTTCCGGTCTGCAAGACGCCTGCGCTGCTGCTGGTCCCGTTGGGTCGGGTCGTGGGCAGCATGCTGGGCGAGGAGGCCGGCTTGCCGCGGCACAGCTCGCGGAACTCGGACTTGGAGAGCGGGGCGGTGGCGATCTTCTGCCGCCGCCGGAGCCAGATCCTGTCGGCCGCGCCCTCATCGTCGTCGCCGTCACTGAAGAGGTTCCTTCTCGTGGCCTCGATCTTTGGCTTCTCTGTCTCGGCGTCTGCATCGTCCGCTTCTTCATCGCCATCATCCTCATCGTCGTCATCATCATCGTTCTTTCGTGATCGGGTCGCCGTCACTTTGGCCTGCTCCTCCTCTTCGCTGTCGCCGTCATAATTGTCGTCCTCTCCTTCGCGCACCTGAGGCTCGGCGGGCTGTTGATGCGGCGCCCTGCGCCGTGTCTCGTCCCGTCTGGCTCCGGCTGCGTGGGCTCCCTCACTCTCAATCACCTCCACCATCTGCCCGTTCTCCTCGACGATGACGCTCACCTTGCGCGACACCGGCGTGGCGGGCCTTCCCTTCTCTGCAGTCGGGGCGCCCACGACCCGTCGCCGACCTCGTAACAACCTGCGCCCCACCGCGTTGTGGGTCGTCTCCCCGCTCGATGGCGCGCGCTCTTCATCCTCCTCCTCCTCCTCGCTGTCGTCTTCGCTGTCTTTCTTCGCCACCGGCTGCTCATCGTTGTCATCGTCATCTTCGTCGTCGTCGGATGGCCCCAGCACGCGGTCCATCTCCGAACGCGATATGGGCCGTATGGGCTGAGCATAGCCCACAGGGCCGATCAGCTATAGAAAGGCCTCACGACGAACGGTGGGGTGCGGGTGTACGTACCGACTCGTTGGCGGTGGTGGCCAGCGGCCGCGCGCGGGCCGGAAAGGGCTGCGACGCGGGGAAGAACGAAGAGGGCGGCGAGCCCGGCGTTGGCGAGCTCTCCATGCGGACGCGCCCCGTGGGCACGATCACCGGTGAGAAGGAGTGCGCTGTTGGCGACGATAGCGACACGTCATCATCATCGACCTTCGCCTTTTCCTTCTTCTTCTCCTTCTTCTGTCGCCCGCCGTGGCGTTTGCCTGCAGACTGGCTCACCGTCTTTGTGTACTTCGCATCTCCGTCGGCGCGTTGCGCGCAGATGACCTCGCGAACGAACTCGCACCCGGGCGTGTTATCATGGTCTGCAGTACCATCATCACGGCGTGGAGGAAGCTCGTCGTCCTTCTCCTTCTTCTGCTTGGCGCTGCTGGCACCGCCGTCATCGGCCGCGGCTGCCGTGGTGCCCGCGGCTTCGCCCAGCTGCCCTATGTCCTCAGCCGCGAGATACCACCACCTGTGTACACAACGGTGGCGATGTCGATGAACACATCTACTGCACCATGGTGAAGGTCTGGAATGTCGTACGTGTCAGAGTCCCAGGCGGCGCCAGGAGGACTGACCGCGCGAACGACCTTGTCCTGCGCTTCCTCTTCGGCCTGCGACAAGATGAGCTCGCCGTCGTCGTCCAGGCAGACCGGTGGGAAGGGCGAGTAGGAGCCATCGATATCCTCTAGCGACGGCTTGCCCGAGGCGGGCTTGTGATCGTCGAGATCGCTACCACCCCTAGCCTCATCTTCTTCGCCCTCTGATTCGATGCTCTGTGCCAGAAGCTTCTGCGTGTTGGCCATTCGCTCTGCCTCTTTCATCTTCTTCACAGAGCTCAGCGACAGCTTGCGTCGTTTGTTGACATCGCTCAAGTACTGGCCTCGCAGATTGGAAGGCAGATGGAAGGGTGGATCGCGACTGAAGCCAGTTCCACCTGGACTGCCGCTCGATTTGATGGTGTTGCTGCTGCCCGACCAGCCCCCAGAAGCCCTTCCCCCATCTTCACGGCCGGAAGCACCTCGCCCCTGGCTCCACATCTCTAAAATAATTTTTGCAACGTTGTTCTTGTTGGCCGTTGCCGTTCGCGCCAAAATTTCAGTCTGCCAAATTTCCCGCAAGTCACATTCTTGAGCTGCCAGTGGTGCTTACTGCCGGCTGCCCTTCAAAGTGCTGCTCTTGTGCAACCAGCACTAGCCCTAGACCATTGGCTGGAGAAGCGCAATGCACGGTCAGAAGCAACGGGCCACTCTGTGTGGCCAGAATCGGCGCCTTGGCACCCACTGCCGGTACAGAGTGGCGCTCTTCGTCGCGTCTCCAGCTCAGGGCGATATGGCTGACCGCCACCGGCACCCCCCGACTCCAACCTTTCGTCGGCGGCGTTGGATCGCCGCGTGGAACCAAACATCCGCCACACGGCGGGCAAACCCGAACTCTAGCCCAACAGAATTTCAGAAAAACTGTAGGCGTGTTTCATTCCACAACTCCGCAAACCCCGGACACCTAGTTTATTCCGGAATTAACCGGACATTATGGCTTCTCTTTGATTGTTGGGGTTTCGTTCTTTGGTTGGCAAACGAGAGACCCACCTTGCGAGAGGAGCGCGTCGCTTGGCCCTTCGCTTCTCTCCTCATCTTCTTCCTCGTCGGCGTGACTCCGAAGAGCTGGCTGCGTTTCAAGAGAGCAATTGCACTTCCTCTCGCTTCGTTCTTTCTGGCTAAGCCCGACTGGCGAAATCATCTTGTTCGGCGAAGAGAGAGCGATCAGCACAGAGATTGAAGCGAGCGAGAGGAACCGAACAGGGCTGCATCCATCCCTCGGCCATTTTGAAAGAGGCGCGCACGGGTTCTACGGACGACGTGAAACAAGCAAGAGCAACGGCGGAAGGGGAAGGAAACATTTTCCACATCCCGAGGAGGAAGAGGATCGCCTATACATATCTCCCACGATTCTCTTCCACTCTCGATCTCCCTCATCTATCTTTCATTTGTTTATATTTTTTTCCCCTTTCGATTAATCACGCTACACGATTTTGAGAGGCATCGTTCGACTTCGCAATGGCCGATACCAAGGTGGAATTGATCATGCTGGCCCAACACAACGAGAACGACGATCTCGATGTGGTTGTGGAGAGGGCGAACAATATCGAGCTGAAGCTCTCGACCACAGAACTGGCCAATGCGGGTGTCCAGGGCATCGCAACTCAAGAATCTGGTTCCTACTCGATTTGTGGCGAGGTACCATCCTCCTTTCCTTGTTCGAACGCGTTTGAATAATTCAACAATAATTCAATCGGTTCGTATCTGAAGAGGTATTTTTTCGAATTTTAAATCCACTTCCATCCGCGACCTTTCATCCTGCAATCAGTTCGTGGATTCCACGTCTGCTTCAAAGTCCTATAAGAGGAGCTTTTGCAACGCCGAAAAACAATTGCGCAAGAAAGAACTCACTCGCTAAATCGATTGGACCACTCCTCCTGCCCATCTTAGACCATCTCCCCAAAAAGGCCAAACGCGAGTTCCATCCTCAAATATTTAATATTTTGATTTTTAAATTCATTATTTATTATTATTTATTTATTCGGTGACAATGCACGGTCACATGTGACCGCGACTGACTCCTGCTTTCCGCCCGGCTGCTTGCCCGCGCGTGCAGAAGGATCTACGCAAGACTTCGGCCCGCGGACGGCGTGGCGACTACTTCGTCTACCCGAACCACCAAGAAGCTGGATCCGGCAGCAACGGCGCCGCCTCGCCGCGCACCCGCGCCGCCGTGTCGCCCTCCGCGTCGTACCACCCGCAGCACTTGGTACGAAGCCTCCACCCCTCCTTGTGGCCACCCAATCAGTTCCATGTTCAGTTTTAGGCCAAGTGCTGCGACCCAGGGTAGAAATGGAAGGTGTTACGGTCACTCTATTTTTGCGCGCAACTCTCTGTTTTAAGAGACGCGTCTGTTCAAATCAGTTACATCCATGTTCCTGTTGGTCGTGTGCTTGACTCACTCGCTCGCTCGCTCGCTCCCTTCTTCTCTTCTCTCTTACACTCGCGCAGAGTCCTCGGCTGAGCGTGTCTGTCGACAACGGCGAAGTGCGACAGCAGCGACAGCTCGCAAGCAGCGGATCTGGCTTTCAGAAGGGCGAGACGCGCGACCACAAGCAACGCACTCCCGGCGTCGGCTGCCACATGGCGACGCAGCGAGCTTCAGTTCACTTGGGTGGTGCGGTCGCACAGAGCAGCTGCGATCAGCCCGGTACACCTAAACAAACCCTAAAATGGAGATGTTCTGAAGGCAGCTAACCGGCCCGTCTATGGTTACGCACGACAGGCGATACACGTGGAGGTCTGGAGGTGGGCGAACATCGATTGCGTTCGTCTTCTCTCCCCGCCGCCGCCGCCGCCTCCGCCTCCTCCTCAACCCGCGATCTCGCGCTGACGGGAGCTCCCGGGACCGCCGCCACTCACGAAAGCAGATCGTCTGCCGGTGGTACGCGCAGCCCCCCCCCGCCCCAACGCTAATCCACTCGCTGTCTGTCGTCGCCTCTTCGTTTCCGTTCTCTCTCTCTGTCGCCCTCCCCCACGCAATCCCAAATCGCCGCTTGACCAACTCTCAAAGCGCACACTCCACACTCGAAGAAGCCGCGCTATTGATTCAAACGACCTTTTTATTTAAATAGTTATTTAGTTATTCAGTTTGCTCGTTCGCTTGCTTTGCGCGCCTTCTGTTCTCTCACCTTCGCCGCGTACGCGGACTGGCTGAAGTGAGTGAGATTTTTGATTGCTCACTCGAGCTCATCTTCTCGCCCCCTCGTATGGTTCACTCCTTTTTGATTATTTAAATTTTTGTTTCCTAAATTTGTCTTTCGCGTTTCGTTTTGAAGTTCACACGACACACATGACACGACACTGACACAACACTGAAATAACGTTCTTCGCTCACCCCATTCCTCATTCATACAGCCTCGGGCATGGCGTACTTCAGCCCCCCGGTACAAGTGCGCTCCAGCAACGGTGCGCGATCTCCATCATTACTTTTTTTGTTTGTTTTTGTGTTTTACAATTTAAATTTTTACACTTATTTATTCAGAGAGATAAATAGAGGACAATAATTGTATTGGCAATAGTGATTAGCCCTTATTTTTCTTTCACAATAACAATAATAAAAGGATAGCCGAAAATAAGCCGAATATTTTTTTATATTATACTCCTAATCCCGTTCGCTATTGCAACACAGAGCTCCGCACTCGATCGCGGCGCTCGAGGAGCGGCGAGTACACCACTTCGCGGGTCGTGCCGGTGACGCCTCCGTCCCCTCTCACTGCGCCGGCCCCGGCGAACGGGAGCAAGGCGTGGGGATGTGACCAGCACGGGAACTGCGAACCGGGAGCGCCCCTCTTCCCGTCCTTCTTCACCATCGAGAAAATGGAGACCCTCCTTTCTCTCGTACGCTCTCTCTCCCCCTTCTTTCGTCGTGTGTCGTGTGTCGTGTGTCGTGTGTCGTGTGTCGTGTGTCGTGCGTCGTGCGTCGTGCGTCGTGCGTCGTGTTTGTTGCTGACGCAATCCGGCGAATTCAAAAACAAAAACAAAAAATGACAAATAAATGCAGTCGGGGATCAAGTTCATCACGGCGGAGCTGCACACGGCTACGATCGAGCGAACGAAGAAGAGCGGGAGCGAGAGCGAGGGGGACGCCAACGACGTGGGCGACACCGCCTGGGGGTCGCCCGACGACGTGCCCGCGCCTCAACAGCCCCAGCAGCAGCAGCAGCTCGACAAGGGCAGCCACAACGGCAGCGGCGGCCGAGAACTGCCGCGCGAGCGCAAGCGGCTGCAGAAGGAGGAGGAGGTGTTCCGGCTGTTCCTCCACTTCGGCAGCTACTCGGTCCCGTCGCTCTCCGGGGAGCACGGCCGGCCGCGGGCCAACACCACCGGCGGACACGCCAGCGGGGCGCCGCCGGCCGTGTTCGACGACCAGCGCGAGTGCCGCTTTTTCAACAAACGCGAACGCGCCGAGGTGCGTGTGTGCGGTGTGTGCGTGTGTGGTGCGTGTGTGTGTGGCGTGTGTGGTGTGGATGATGGGCTGACGTAATGTTGTTGATGTCTGCAGAAATTCTTTGCGCATCTAGTGCAGGAGCTGACGAAGGCCAACTACAAGAAGGTCTTCATCCCGCCCTCGCCGCTGATGGGCTCCTACGAGGCGCAGCTGCAGCTGTCGCGCGGCGGCGAGCTCTTCAAGCTGGCCGAGCACTGCGCGCTGCCCCACACCTCGCTCTCGCCCGCCCACCAGTCCAAGATCGCCAAGGAGATTCTTCACATTCTCAAGAACTCGCCGCCCACCTCGCCCATCTCCAAGACCATCCAGAGCAAGTCCGTCGTGCGCTACCTCCTCAAGAACGCCTTCTACAACCTCTTCCCCTCCTACCCCTCTCCTTCATCATCATCGTCGTCGTCGTCTTCATCGTCTTCTTCTTCATCATCGTCGTCGTCGTCTTCGTCGTCGACGTCGCCGTCATCATCGCCGGTGACGTCGGACGAAGTCGGGACTCGACAGCCGAAGGCGGCCGCGGCCGCGGCAGCGCCACCGCCCTCGCCGTCGCTGTCGTCGCTGCGTCGCGTGGGCCGGATCGTCAACGGGTCCTCGCCCTCGTTTTCGCCCTCCGTCCAGAGCTGGCGCGCACGGGGCGACCCCTCATCGTCTTCTTCGTCTTCGTCTTCGCTTTCCTCGTCGCCGTCGGATTCGTCGGCCATCGCCGAACGCGAAGCCAAGGAAACGAACGAAAGCGAGCGAAAGAACGAAGCGCGAGAGCGCAAAGAGAAGGAGCAGCAGCAGCAACAACAGCGAAGCCAACAGCAGCCGCAGACGCAGCCGCAGCCGCGGGAGAAGCGAGAGCGGTCGCTAATCGAGCGGTGGCGCAAGACCATCTTCCGAATCATGGACATCATCCGCGAGAAGCACGAGGAGGGCTACTACGCCGACGACCAGGACTTCAACAACGCCCACTTCATCAAGGAGCTCACCCAGTCCGACCTCTCGCACTGCTACCTCTACTGCCTCCTCAAGCCCTTCATCTCCTCCCAGTACCACTCGCCCACCGGTACACACACCGCCCTCCACATCGTCGGACGTGACACGCAGCACTCGCGCTAACCGCACACACACGACACACACACGACCTACACACGACACACACGACACACGAATGCAGGTGCGTTTGGGTTCGAGCGGCTGAGTTCGGTGGAGTTTGTGCAGCAGCTGGTGCGGCTCAACAATCCACTGCTCGACCAGTTCATCACCTTCAACTTCTACACAACCGTCAGCCCGAGCGCCGGCGCCAAGCCGGCGTCGACGCCCTCCAACCTGCTCTACTTCTGCATGGACTCGCTGTTCCGGTTCCCGCGCAACAACATCCTGCACAACCTGGTCCACGACACGGTGGCGGCCATCTTCGGCCGCGACGAGAAGCGCAAGCGCGACCGCAAGGCCAGCGGGCCGTCGAGCCGCAGCAGCGCCACCGCCGGCGGCAGCGGCAGCTACACCATCTACGGCAGCAGCGGCAACCACCGCATCCGCGGGAGCTACGCCGGCAACAGCGGCGGCGCCGGCGCCGGCGGCTTCCAGGGCAAGCTCAACCGCAAGCTGGGCAAGTACAAGCGCGTGGCCGAGCCCTACGGCGGCGGCGGCGGTGGTCAGTACGGCCACGATGATGAGAGCAACGAGATGGACATCGAGGTGACGGCCCAGCTGTGCCCCGAGGAGGCGATCGAGGACGAGCAGGAGCTCAAGGCCCGCCGCGAGCTGATGGCCCGCAAGTGGGCCAAGGAGTCCATGAAGCTCCGACGCGTGGCCCTCGTCGAGTGCGGACTGCTCGAGAAGCTCGTCGCCTACTTCCACGCCCTGCGGGCCGAGAAGGACGCGCGCCGTCGACAGCAGCTGCAGCAAAAGGAGGAGGCCGCGGCGGCTGCCGCTGCCAAAGAGGCCGCGGTCGACAGCGACGGCGATCTCACCCTCAACTCGGCCGAGAGCGATCCCATCAAGACCGAGATCGAAGAGGTCGAGGAGCTCGAGGAGATCGAAGAAGTCGAGGAAGTCGAAGAGGGCAACGACACTGAGTCCCCTTCTACTTCGACGTCATCGTCGTCGTCATCGTCGTCGTCACCATCATCGTCACCATCTTCTTCTTCTTCGACGTCGTCGTCATCGTCGTCGTCTTCATCGTCGTCGACGGAGGAGATGAAGCGAATTCTGGCCGGGGCGACGTGGGCCGGCGAGGAGAACCTGGGGCCGGTGGTGAAGATCGTGAATCGGATGCTGCGCGGGCGCAACAACCAGTACCTCACCTGCTCGACGCACCTGCTCACGGGCGTGCTGGGCGTGGACGAGGCGCTGGCCCGGGCCTGGTTCGAGGTGGTCCACGCCGACCTGCGCGAGATCAACGCCCTCGACAACAGCCGCCCGTTCGAGAAGCCACACGTCAGCTTCTCGTCGCCGCTCAAGAACTCGTTCGACAACTACCACCTCAACCTCCTCAAGTTCCACCGACGGTGAGGATGGTGATGATGGTGGGTGCTCTCTGATTTTCATTCTTAATTTTTGGCCTCCTTATTTTCAAAGTGAAACGCGAAAACAAGACCTCTCGTCCTCCACTCTTGCTGCTTCCTCTCGCGTAGAGCCAACAGCACCAACAGAAGTGGGAACAGGGACCTGGGGGAACAGAATTTTTTAATCCTTGTAGATTTTAGAGACCATTAGCAAGTGGCCTTGCTAGCTCAGTCGGTAGAGCGTCAGTCTCATAATCTGAAGGTCGTGAGTTCGATCCTCACGTGAGGCACTTCCCTTTTACAAAGCTACTTTTTTTCGAAGGAAAGTGTCAAAAGCCCAACTACATTAGAGGGTACAAAGAGGTTTCAGTTCTGTTTCATGCACTTGAGGAGGGCCTCCATCCAGGCGACCTTGTCCTGCGGGCTCTTGGTCTTGAGCAGATATCGCTCACCAGCCGACACCGACACCCACGCAATCACGTCCCGCTCATCCGCTGCATACACATAAACACACACACACACATGCAAGAGTAAACAGATACACACATAGTATGTTAGAAATATATTAGTCACATCATCGCCAACACCACATTGGTGGAGGGGAAGAGTACCTTCGTTGTGATAGGTGGAGGCGATGTAGCACTCGCTGAGGTGGTGCACGCGCACGAATCGGAACTTGGCGTCCTTCTCGGGCTCGGTCTCGAGCAGAAGATCGTCAAAGAGGAACACGTAGCGCTTCTTGTAGGAACGCGAAGAAGAAGACGACGACGATGAAGACGAACCGCGGCTCCCGCCCCGACCAGCCATCTTCAACGTCGGCAGCAGTTGCCGCGGGGAGGTCGACTGCAGCCCGCCACTACCAGCCGACGAGCCCAGTTCGAGCCACGACCCGCCCCGCTTCGACTTCTGCGGCTTGACCGTCGCCAGCGCCGCCGCCGCGGCCATCGGCGTGTCGACAGTCGACGGCGACGAGTCGGCGTCGGGTGCGAGCGCGGGGAGGGACGACATGCTGGACCAGGTGGCGGCGGGCGGAGTGGAGCTGAGCGGGACGATGCGCGATCGGTGCTTGTTGGCATCGAAGCTGCGCTGCCGCACCAGCTGCGAGGTGGAGCGCCGCGCGAGCTTTGGGAGCGAGTCGGTGGTCGCGGCCGACGAGGCCAGTGACGATGATGATGAAGAGGAGGATGAGGAGGAGGGTGAGGTGGGTGGTGAGTGGTCGCTGTCGGTGTCGTCGAGGGTGGGTTCGGCGGACGGCAGCATGTCTTCGGGCGTGATGACGATCGCGCCGTCGTCGCCCTTGATCCGCAGCTCGCCCTGGTGAATGAGCCGCCGCACCGGCTGTCGTCCAAACAGCGAGAACTGCGCACACGCACACCACCACCCACACACGACACGTCATCAGCCGACACTCGACACTCGACGAAGATGAAGATGAAGACTCGGACGTGGCAGCGGTACCGCTTCCTTGCCCTTGGGGAAGACGAGGGCCTGCTGGATCTCGCTGAGCTGCTTGACGGCCTCCTCCTGTCGCCGGGCCTGGTTGAGAAAGCGGTTGAGCTCCTTGATCGACGTCAGCAGCTTGTCGATCCGGGGCAGCTCCTCCGGCTTCCTCTGCGAGTGCTTCAAGTAGTCCTGTAGGGGTTTTTTTGCACGCATTTTTAGCCAGCCGTGTGTCGTGCCATGCGTGCGGTGTGTGCTGTGTCGTGTCGAGTGCGGTCGTGGTGTGCGTACGCTCAAGAGCAACTCATAGCGCGGAATTCTCTGGATGGGCTGCAAATGGGAGAAACCAGAACGGGGCCAGTGGTCAATGCACACAATGAATGCCGCCGCAGTTGCGGGGTGTGTGTGTGGCGCCCCGCTTTTTCGGCAAACGCGAACGCGCCGAGGTGTGTGTCGTGTGTGTGTGTCGTGTGTGTGTCGTGTGTGTGTGGAGTACGAGGATGAGCAGCGAGTCGAGGTCGAGGATGACGCTGGACCCGGACTCCTTGTTCAGCCGCTCCTCACACTCCTGGATTTTTAGCTCCGATGATCAGTTGTGGGTGATACCAGGATTGAATACAATAATTTTATAATATCATAAAAAATTACTAGTTAGTAACAATAACAAGAAATAATACAATTATAAATAGTACAATTGTTAATAATAACAAGTGGGGGGAGGCAGACCTTGAGGAGCGAGATGAAGGCCGAGTTGGAGTGCAGCTTGGCCAGGTTGGTGCTCACTTGCGAATATGCGTTGAAGTACGCCGTGTAGATCTGATCATTCACGACAACGACGAGCAGAGAAAAGAAGAAGAAGCCGTCGCCAAGTAAGCGATGATGGTGATGGTGGTGTTGCATGAGAACAAGATGAAGGCACCTTCATGAAGGGGATGAAGGAGAGGAAGGACTCGGTGAACGAGTTGTCGGCCTCCTGCAGCTCCGAGAGGAACGTCTGGTGCAGCGTGAGCAGTGTCGAAAGCTCCCTGGGTGGTGGTTCGAGGTGGGCGCGCAAGTGGGTGAGCCAACGCTCGCGCGGGGGGGGGGTAATAACATCATCGTCACCATCACCATCATCAGGTGGCCGACGTACCGAATATTGAGCACTGCGCCTCTGACCACTTGCGCCTCCTTCGCGGCCTGAAGCACCTGTGCGACCGCACACGATACACGACACGACACGCACGACACACGGCGCACACGGTACACGCACGCATGGTGAGTGACAAAGCAATGGGCAGAGGGTGAAAAAAATGAAGCGTGAGGCGTACGGCGTCGAGGATCTGCAGGTTGTGGATGTAGCTGATTTCGGTTTCGATGAGCTCGTTGCGCACTCGCGCCCTGTGCTTCTCCTCGACCTCCATCTCAACATCCTCCACTTCCACCTCCACCTTCTCCACCTTCTCCTGCTTCTCCTCTTCATCCTCCTTCTGTTCGTCTTCCGTCCCTGGTCGCAGTTCAGCCTTGGCCGCCGCGTCGACATTTGTGGACTCGGTCGGCGGCTGCGGCTGCGGCTCCAGTGGTGGCTGTGGCTGTGGCTGTCGCTTTTCGGCGGACCGGCGGAGCTGATCGCGTTCGCGTTCGCGCTCGACCATGAGGGCCATCTTCTGTCGCTCCTTCTGGGCGAAGAGGGCCATGTTGGTGATGCTCACCTGGCGCTGGAAGTGCATGAACACCTCGCACCTCTTCCTTTTCGCCTCCTCGCTCTCTTCTTTCTCTCCTCCATCACCACTACCACCCTCGTTTTCGCTTTTGTCTTCGTTTTCTCGTTCGTTTTCGCTTTCGCTTTCGTTCTTTCCCGTCTGAGGACTGTCGCCGGGGGCAGAGTCGCTGGCTCGGGGCAATGGCGGGGGCGAATCCGTCTTGAGCACCGCCGACGTCCAACACTTGTCGCCGCTGGCGTGCTTCTTGAGCACCTGGTGGTTCTTGCTCATCAGCAGCCGCTCGGTACGTTTGTCCGCGTCGGCGCTCTTGACCCGCGACCGGTGCCGCTCGGTGCTCTCCGTCAGCTGCAGCGACGCCACGGCCGCCGCTGGCGCCGGCTCTGCATCGGGCTGCGCCTCGGCCTGGGCACCGGTTCCCTGTGCTTTGAGGCCGGCGCTGATGTCGGCGATCTTCGCCGCCGGCAGCTCTTCAAGCGCTGGCGTGTTGGCGACAACGTCGGTCTGCTTCTTGTCGGCGGCCGTGGTTGTCGTGACATCGCGCCGCCACTCAGTGAGTGCGTGCTTGACATTCCGCTCGCTCTTGGCCATTCGCTTAGTGCTGGACTTGAGCTTGGTCGCGGGCTGGTCCTTGTCGGCCTTGGCCTTGACCGTGTTGCGGCTCGCGGGTGTGGTGGCCAGCAGCAGCGACGACACCTTGCCACCGCCCTTCTTCGTGGTGCCAGCCGCCGCGGCTGATCGCTGCTCGGCGGCCTCGTTGAGCTCGACCTCCCTGTTGAACATGTCGTTGATGATCTTGTTCTTGTCCTTGATGATCCCGATCAACCGCTGGTTCTCCTCCTCGAGTATGCTGACCCGCTCGCGCAGCGTCTCGACGCTCTCCTCCTTCGCGGCCTCGCCATCGGCATTGACCTCCTGCTTTACCGGCGCCAAAGCAAAAGTGAGAGGGGCAAGTCGAAAGAACGAAAAGAGAGCACGGACCTTGGTTGCTTTGGAAATCGCGAGGATCGCTTTCTGAGTGGTGGTTGTCGCGTGTGGTTTGTGACCGGTAAGAAAAGAAAATGAAGGGAAGAAGAAGAGA